CGGTACGAACTTGACCGCAAGTCAGCTGTCACGCAATTAACGTAGTGGCTGGTACCGACTTCGGACCACAGTGCATAGACCAGGGCATATTGTGATAATAAATTCTATTGTCGCGAAATACACCTACCGGTCTCGGTGCCAATCGGCATGTATTGATACACACGCCGATACACATTTGGTACCAATAACGAATTTCGGGATTTTGTGATATTGAATTCGGACGTAACCGTCTTTTAACTGGCTGGAAAGCCGGGGGCAGTTGTCGCCTCCCATCCCCGCGCCGGATAACGTCGGCGGTTTCGGAATCGTCTCGAGCGTCGGCGCGCCTCCCGATAACGCAACGGACCCGACGGTCCGAAATGTCGTTGTTTCAAACCGAACGGAAAGCCGCCGGCGGCAAAACCGGAACGGACCGCGGACGATGTTTTCCTCTTACCCGAACGCCGAATCCGTCGTCGCCCGCGTATATTTACCGGGCGCGCGCGCGCACATCACGACGCGGTCCTCTTTTATACCCGCGCGGCGAGTCCGATGCAACATCCCGGGGGGGGGNGGGGGGGGGGGGGGGGGCGACCGCGGTTTTCGTTATAGCGGTACGCACACAAAGGGAGTACGGGGTTTTTTTTTTTTTTTTCCCCTTCCGATCCGACCGACCCCTCTGCCGAGCCGCGGGCCCGATTGCGACGGGTCTAGCGCGTGCAAGTACGCTACGCAGCGCCGCCGCCGTGATCGGAGTCCGGGCGTTGTACGGCCGCGTTAAGCGCCCTGTGCGGCCCAGCGGCCGGAATTCGACCGCGAATTCTTTAAACGTCTCCGGGTTCGAACGCAGCATAACGTCGTAATGTCGCATTTCTCGCGGAGCGGCGCGCCTGCCGGGGAGGCGGGTGGGGTCGGTGATCAACCGCCCCACGGCTTGACTTCCGGCTTGACCTCCGGGTGTCTGTGCCGTCGTGCTTTTCAAACGCCCGCGATTTAGTTGGTACGGAGTAGTGCCAAACGGCAATGTGGTTTACCGGCCGGCGTTATCTCCGCGCGTCGAGAAAGCGACGCGGGCGACAATATTATCACGACGCGGTGACGCGTGACGATTGTCCGTCCCGCGTGGTCGCAGAATGACGAGCGCCCGGAACGGGCCGTGAACGCGCGGTGCAATTGGTGTTCCTCGGCGGTCCCTTTTCGATTCCACCGCGGAAAGTACGGGCGCGCTTCCTCCCGGATTGACGTTTCACACGTGGAACCGCATTTTTTATTTTTAGATTCTGTTTCTCATACCGCGACGCGCGCCCTTCGTAAACGTTTCCGACCGCGGAAATCCTCCTCCGATCATAAGCTTCGGCGACGGCCTCTGTGAGCGTTGCCGGAACCGTCTGCTTTTCGATATGTCTTATTGTAAACCATACAATGCGGTTTAATATACGTTTATACTGCATTATACAAATCCGCGTAGAACCCGGAAACGGGTATTTCTGTTAATTTCGATTCCTTTGGTTTTATATGGATACGATTTTTTTTTTTTTTTTCTTACAATGTTCATCGTACGTTTTTATTTTGGTCATAAAAAAAAAATATCGGAAATCCATAACACGCTGGGTTTATACGTGTGTGTACTCAATGTACTCCGTTAAACATATTGATATAGTATAGTCAGTACTTATACTCGCGTAAAGTCAACATTTTCCTCCCCACCCCTTTTTTTTTTTTTTTTTTGACTACTCGTGTTACTATAGTAACACGCACGTGTCAACCCCGAAGTATTAGTCACGATTTTTTTTTTCACACGCATTAAAGTTCAAATTCCATATGCTATATTTACAAAAATTGTGTGAACACGATTGTTCTACAAAATTATTCGAATATTCGAGACGAAAAAACAGAATCGTCAGGTTTTGAAAATGTCTTGGGGTCTAAGGTGCTCACTGTTTTACCGAGGCATGTATAGTTTTACCTAAATCTTACCAAATACTTCCTACTTTTATTTCCTTTAAACTGTTCGTCAAACAACCATTACCAAAATATAGTCATATTTGTTGTTTTATAAGTTATAACATTTTAATAGTGCTTTGGCTTCGTGAAAAATCACAAGACAATCTACAGTTTTAATCCTTGAAATTAATATCACGGAAAAAAGTTTATATTCGTCAATTCATTTATTATAGATAAAATTATTATTTTGAGGATGTACATGACAAATATTATTTATTTATTATTATTATTTTTTTTTTTTTTGTATACTATGAGAACCGCGAGTGGCCGAGCTCCGTCTTGTTAAGCTCATGAGGGAGCTGCAGCCCCAGAGTCCCCCTGTACATGGCGCCCCTGCGAAAAACCCCTCTGGAAAATTCTAGTTTATTCAATTATATAGTTAAAATCGTTGAATTTAATTTTACCAAAACACTCCGGACTCTGTTTAAAATCGTTCATCGTCGGTAACCATAATGTATTATCGTTTACCCACCACTAATAACTATAAATTACACGCCCAAATTAGGGTACAAATCATACACCTTATGCCTTATACCTTTTCGACGACCCTGCACCTACAATTGCAGTGGTTCGGATGTTTCGAAAATCGAAAAATCACCGATCGCGGTAGGTCCCGGAATACACGGTGTATATTATCGTGTATTTAATTATTCCGCACGGCAATTATTAATATTGTCGAATATTTACGCTGACATTATGCACAGCCGACCGATCCGACGCGCGATTCGACGTACAATAAATCCGTTACTCGCGGGGTGTAAATGATTAAACCGTTATAATAGATCGTTCGTTTCGATATTTCGTTATTTCGCTATCGAACGTCGAAAACGAGCCTTACGCGCGACGCGTTAGATCGCGAATTATTTACGCGTTTTTAAAAGGGAACGCAATTTGTATAAATTGTAAATCGGCATGATTCGATATAACGTCTGACCGTTCGATAATAACAATCGGTCACACAATAATTATTATTGATCTACCGCCGCGCGAGACCGACTTTTCGTGCGCCACAGCGCTCGTGATATCCCCGTCCCGATAATAAACTATACATATTATCGTGTCATAACAAACGACCCGTTATTATTCTCGATTGAACTAACGGAACACACCGGTATCGTTATTATTTTATCGGCTCGTTAAAACGCTTCTGTTGATACCGCACCGTAAAGCGAATTACGGCAAAACGCGTTCGGCTAATTAACTGCGAACGAGATTTTTGTCGGACTAAACCGTAGTAAACCGAATGCAACGTAAGTATACGCATATAGGCGAGGTCGGGCACTTACGATTTAACGTCGAGGTAATTTAATTTCATAACTTAATGAATTCATTTTTTTTTTTTTTTTCGAATTCAAAAGAATACAAAATAATTAACTTTTAATCAACTTATTAATTTGCGAATTAATAACGTGCGTTTTATGTTTAAACGATAGTTAAGTTGATTTCAGTTTTCATTCGTATGCTCATATAAATAATTATATATTATTATTATTGTTATCAAAATATTATGAACATTTTAAAACACAAATTGTTATGAATGTCTGTTAATTTTTTTTTTTAACATAAAACGTAAACGTTCCAAATAATGAAACCGTAATGCCGTGAATTTATCAGTTACCATTCTCATTTTGAGTTTTTTTTTCTGTTTTTCCTGATTATTTGAAAAACTACAGAGAAAATAAAAAACTTTTCCGAGTGTAAAAGTTTCTAGTAACATTTTCAATGATAATAATTAAACGATATACAAATTTAAAAAAAATTACTCACCGATTAAATTAAAATGCAACAAAAATGAAATCGGTTTTTCACATTTGATGAGAAAACTTCTGAAAAAATAGAAAAATTACTTGCTTAAAGTACCTCTTTATACCGTTTATAAATTTTAAAAATAAACATTTTTTTAAAACCATAAGCTTCTTTGCTCCACTCAGGGTATAAAATACAAAATAGTCGTCATAGTTAAACGAATATATCCCTCGCTATGCACCGAATCTAAAACAAACCCTTCGGTAAAAATACTTTTGTTAAGCGGCAATCGTTATTGTTTATTTTTTTAAAGCGTCGGATTTAACTAAAATAAGACTTTACCGATTACGTAAGTATATAATCTTCCTAGATGCTATTAAACGAACCAGAACAATCGAGCACCGCGGAATCGTTTTCCGCAAAATTATTGCAATTTCGTCGATTCACAATATTATTATTAAACACTTATTAACACATAGATACACGATCTACATGATACGTAAATTTATGTTTTTCTGAGTCACCGTGCGAGTCCTCTCAGTGGGGTCTAATACTCCTACGTACGTGAAATTAGGTAAAAATTGATAGGTATATTACAGGAAGTAATGTGCAACGCGCGTAACACGTGTAAAATAATCTCAAATCACCAAATTTTATCGACGGACTTTTATTTTATACCGTCCGACCCGTGTATAAAAAGCGTACGCGATAATTTAAATTGTTTATTTGCCGTCAAGTGAGTATACCGAACAAAGAAACAACGGATAACAGTTTTACTGACGTTGACGTAGTTGAACGGTGTGCGAAAATGGCTTTATCGAAATTACAAGTATCGTTTTTGTTGTGCGGCCTGGCACTGTTATCCTGCTGTTTCGTTAACGTGAGTATAACAATTTACGTAATTCCTGACTATTCAGATCCGTTTTTTGATGGCAATACGATTTTAGAATAATCAATAGAAAACAAAAAATCCCGTACTGTTTAGATAATAAATATGTATCAAATTCTGTACAAATATAAACTTAAAATACTACGCATTGCATAAGCAATGAAAAACTTAAAGGAACCTATAGATACAATGAAATTTAAAAATTCATTCAGCATACATTTTGAGTATTTATTTTATTTTATTAACTCCTCAATATTTCACTTATTGGCACTCATGTCACGCTATACTCGAATTTTGTTTCATCTCTAAGTGCAACTTACGATGAACCTACTGTTAAATTGTTGAACATTTTTACTGGGCCAAAAGAAAGGTACTAACATAATGATCCTATTTATATCACTGTTTTCAAAATTCTATAATTTTTACGATTTTCATTAAAATTTTAAATATCAAAGAACATCAAAAATGACTTCCTCGACGCACCAACTAGAAATAACAAGGTATGTGTGATGCAAATAATTTAGAGCTTTCTTACTAACCAAAAGAGGGTTTACAAAACCAGAGTTTTCTGAGAATAAATTCTGAAAAGAGAACATAGAACTGGGGGAGAGGGGACGGGCAACTGTTAAAAAAGCATACTTCAATTTTCTTCAGTTATACCTAACCTGACAATAAGAATTTTAAAGTTAGTTTCAAAAAGGGCAGTTTTTTCAATAAATCAATCAATTGATATAATAATATTGGTTTAATTGGAACCATTGCGATAGCATTACTCTTCTCTGGCCGACGCTCATCGCTATCAGGATAATAAAAACGGTTGTACGACGATGAAAAACATTTGACAATTTTCCCATTTTTATCGGTTTTTCAAATTTGACGAGAAAACTCTTTAGAAAATCGAATAACGACATGTCTAAAGTACCTCCCTAGTAAAATTTTCTTTTTGAAATTATTTTATCATTGAATTCGTAGCAAAATTATTGGTAGAAACGTTGTGCACAGAAAAAAAGAAGACCGCAATATATTTTAACTAATAATTTTATTTCTTATATTTTCCCATTCTTTTTCGGTTTTTCAAATTTGATGAGAAAACTCCTGAGAAAATCGTAAAATGACGTCTATAACTACATCTATAATAGCCGCGACAAAAACAGAAAGTGAATATATTTTATTGAAAACGAGTATTGAATGACTATTTGGAAATAAAATGTATTCGAGGATAAGAATAAATATTCCTATATATTGCACCAAAGTATTACATTATCTTCCTAATAAGTAATTTGATTTGACAATACTCTAATACTTTCATATCTAGTTTCGCATAAATAATATTCATAAAATATGTAACGTAAGTAAGGTACTCATAAACTTTATTGAATTCATCACTGGGATTTTCAATTAGTAAATCACCTATAGTTTTGTTGGTAGCCTCAAAATTATCACCCACTGAATGGGCGACTCCCAATTATCACTACAAAACGTGAAAGTGTTTGAATACTCAATTTAAAAAAGTAAGCGGTAGTTCATTTTCCAATAAAATACGATCGATAAATAATTATATTATTTGTTTTTCAGAACGGGATGTTGTAGAGACGGTTTTATTATTACGTATTATGGAGAAGCGGACGGAATCAAAGGAAAACCGAATCCAAGTTTAACGATTTTACTTACCTATTCGATTGCTGTTAAGTTTTAATTATAGGATGTTACGATAAATTATTATCAACATGATTTTCTCCTGTTAATTAGCACGCCTGTCGTTATGATATTTTTAAATCATCCGAAGCAATAATGTTATATGATATTATTATATTTCATTAATTTATTATAATGTTAAATAAAATACTCTTTTGTGAATGGTATAATGTGTTATATACATACTCTATGTAAAATAATTACAGTTTAATTCATTTTAGGTTCTTATTCTTTGATTGTTTAAAAATTTACCTCGGAATTAAAAATTTCGGTACTCTAAATTATAGTTAAATATTATATAAGATATTTTGGTCGCAGAGATGAAAGTCTTAAATATATTTCTGGAATTTTAACAAGGATATGTTTACGGGTAAGAAGTCTGTCGAAAATAATCGACATTCTTTCATTATAATGGGAATAATGTATAGCTGCAGTTCCTATAGTAATAACAACTACATAATTAAACACAACACAGCATATTATACATCATTTTACGTTTTACAGCGTAGCGGAGAAAAATATCAAAAATTTGTTTTTCATAAGTAGTATGAAAACGTATATTCTAATCCAAGGGGAGCTATATTTTTTTCACAGCTTTTCGAGGAGAGCTAAATTTGTGCATAACCACCCGAATTGTCCACTTCTTCATCGACATATATATTCATATATTTATAATATATCTACTGTTATCATTTGTGTTATCACTTTAACAATGTTATCATTACTATAATGTCTTATCTATTTCTCGTTCATTGCCACCGCAACCCTCTTCCCCTCACTATACATCTTTGTACATGGATCGAACCGAGAAGATTACTAATCTGCGATTATTGTACACGTCTACAATTCTAAATCTCTAACTATAATATATCTATAAATATATGTACTACAAGTGTATCGAAG